ATTTAGTTGTACCAAATGTAAATTGAAACGTTGAATTAATTTATTATATTTCCAATTCTGCTCTCATATAACCTAGGTACTATTCCTGGACATTTCCAGCGGAGCTCTGTGCTGGCTCAATTCCCATCTCTCCAGTACAACCATCTGCAATGACGGGCGATCCATCATCTTTGCCTGGCAACATCACCTCTGGGGTTCACCAATTCTCCTTTAGGCCCCACCGTCATTTTCTTCTCCATCCACCCATTTTGCAAAAATTCATTACGATACGTTTATCTCCTTCCGATTACCATAAAGGTGATTCCCCGTTCTGCATCTCACTTTATACAAAAGTTTATAAACATTCAAGTACCGACATTACTTGGTCTACCAATACTTCATTATTTCATTATTGTGTCTTTGAGGGATCAACAGTGTGTGTGTGATAAAGTCGTGGTGCTATAAATTTCTACTCATTCTACTTTCAAAAGGTTTCACTGTATTTATGCAATCTTCAAAATGGTAAATTATATGGGCAAATGCACAACATCTCGGACAGGCATGGCTCACATGATTCCTTGCCGTACTGATTAGTTGAAGTGCATTATAATGTTTGGCATCTAAAGTATGACACGAGTCCCAATGCTAACATTAGCAGTCTGCTCATATAAGAAGTTTTGCTTCTTTTCTAATGGAGGGTGACGTCAGCATGAGATCAGCATCAAAAGGATGATGGCTTCCCCTCTGTGTCAATATTAGCATTATCTTGTCTTTGCCTGTGTCATCTGCCATATAAATAAAAATGCACAGTAGCTGGTGTAGTTAGTGTCTCGCTGAGATGAGTTAGGGGTATTGATTACGTGTTGCTGATGTTTGCAAAAGCAATTACCTAACGGTCTGGGGATCATGACGGGGCACATCGGATGAGACTGCAGATTTTCAACGCTTCACGTGAATCCGCTAAAAATGATTTTCTAGTTGATAATATGGCAGAGAAACCACTGCATGAAGGCAACTGAAGAACAAAAAAAGCCTCTAAATATGGAACTGTCACGGGAAGCTCCAAAGAAAACTATTCTAGTCCTAATTTAGATATTGTGTTGTTGCTAATGCCATTAGAAAGTGAAAAGGCCAACTTGTTTTTTTATTAAACCTAGAGTGTACACACACACCTATAGATACAAACATCCACATGTGAGCCATTTTCACAAGCAGCAAAGCTGAACAGACTCTACATAGCAACCCACCATCCTGTACGTGACAAACTTATCTCGCATCCATAAAATACATCAAGGGAGGTTCCAAGACTCGTATTAAACAAGTCAATCCACCATGTCAGTGCAACGCCTTCGCACAGTCAGAAGAGTAGAAGTAATGTATTTACACTGCAACATTGTTGCAGAAATTGTTGTAGTCCCATGTGTTTTATTCTTAATGTGTTTTAGCAACATTTCAAAGTTTTTGTCATGTATTTGCTCCTTGTTTTTGTTTTTCATTTGAGTTGGCAACAAAAATGACACAAAAAAAAGAAGAGGGAAAATGTCGATGCAAGAGGAAATGTAAGGAAGACCACGCAGAGGAGATGGCACAGCAGGACTCGGCCCTGCACGGCTCCACGCTGACCTTTTTGCGGGGTCGGATAAAAACAAGAGTATTGTTCTCCTCTGCCGATTTTGAGTTTTGTAATCTGAGGTAATGGTCCGAAAGGGGGCAGACAGAGACTGCCCGAGATAAAACAAGGCTCTGGAGTAAAGCACAAGTTCAATGCTGATTAGGGCAAAACCCAATAAGCTTTAACAGACTGTTCTCCTTTCACTCTGGCTCGTTCTGTGCCATCTGTGCATGTCTCACGTGTGTGTTCCCTCTCTGCTGCTGTCCGCCAGCCCCATTTCTAAAATTCCCTCTGCCATCTTGTCAATCTTCTTAAAACAAATAGGAGTACAAGACCCCAACAAACACTCACTCAAAATTCTGTTATTTCCAAAAGTGGATCATCCCAACCTGTCATTCTGTATGACGGGCTTGTTCCTTAGAATCTTTGGATTCAACTAGAGGTGCTGCATGGGGATAAATAAAAAAAGCATGGTTCAATTGCAATGTTACATTAAAATGAATTGTTAAAACATATGGAAAAGCAAGAGTATTAAAGTTTTTATTTTTATTTTGCTGGAACGCTTGACCAGTGCTGTAAAATGTAGACTAATAGATTTGCAAGTGCATCACTCAATTCTCTCTCTTTCTTTTACAATTGTATCAGAACGGGTGTAAATCAAAATCTGCAAATGATTTATTTGAATGCATCACAAAAGTCTGATTTCTACTTAGTATACTCCACTTCACATACATAATTATTCTTTTTTTTCCACTGAACAACAGAAACCCTTGTTTGCCTTTCTAACGGTCCATTCATTTGAGGAATGAGAAGTGCAAAGAAATAAAGTTTGTGGGTATCATGCAAACATTTGTGAGAAGATTCTTGTACAATAAAACCCCTCAATACTGACATTTGATGAGGTGGAAAAAAAAAACTTTAAAAGTCAAGCAACAGCTTGAGATGCTGACGGCAGCTAGATGGGGGGATTCAATAATTAAAATGAGAAACTTCTTCACACTGGCTTGACAAGGCTTCAACACAAACTTGAATAAAACAAACTGCCAAATGGATTGTTGGTTAATGCAAATATCCACCTGGACCTCTGAACTAATCATACAGCATTGTCAAAAATGATATAAGATGCAGTTTTATAATATTAGTCCCTTAATGCATGAAGCTTGTTAAAGCAAATAATAATATTTGTGTGTATAAATAACATTTTGGTTGCAAACATTTTTCTCTTTGTAGATGCCTGCTTTGCAGTAAAAAAAATGGCTTGTATTTGTAAATCCATGTACCTGTATGCCTTGAAGGCTTTGTGTCCGTGTTGGTGCATTCAGACCTGTGACATCAGCTGTGTGTCTACATGCTGCTCTAACCTTGATTTTCTTTCCTCCTTTTTTCTTTTTTTTTGGGGGCCGGTGAACCTTCAAGTTCCATTTGTTCATTCTCCTTGCTACTGGAGAGGTAATTGAACCATGGAGGAATGAGTTTGTCAGGTGTAAGGGTCAGAGGAGTCTGCTGCATCACTATCGAGCAGGCAGAGCCACTGAGAGACGGGCAGGGGGACAGGAAAGGAGGCAAGGAGGCAGACGGTTACGCAATGATGCCGACGGAGAAGGAGGAGAGACACCGGTGAGGGAAATAGTCAGCAAATCAGGCACGAGAGGACTTGGATTTATATGCCATCAGACAAGGGTTCAAACTGATTTTCAGACCGGAGAGGGCAATATTATATTTGTTCCAAGCAGGCGGGGTGAACTGACGGGTTAAATCAGACAAGCTTGCATGCAGGAAGAGGGCTGGCGGGTACTGGAGAAGACAGGTAAACAGTAGATAAAGGTATTGAAAGAAGACTAACAGAGAGACCGCTGCCAGGCAAGGGAAATCAAAGAAGTTAAAACGTTGACAGCAGTCATGAGGAAACAATTTAATTCAAGATTCATGTCACGGTGTGTACATTGATGGAATTATTTGTGGACAATTGGGCACCTTTTTTAAGTCACAGATCCAATGTTTTTACATAACAAGGCAATGGCATGTATTTTCCCTCATGGACATTACGGATATGTGTTGATTCTTCTACGCAAATATCAAAACGCAAGATAACCAAGGTTAGAAAATGACTGAAGGAGAAAGGAAAGGAGCTTTGTGCAAGGCACTCTCACCACAAGCCATCGCTAAATGTCTGTATCCCAGCTGTGATACAAAGTTAAAATGAAGACCATAATGGAGACGCGTGCCAGGTTGGTGAAGTAATGAATGTGTCATAATTCTCAATTGCGATTAACTAAACTGATTATTCATTGTGAGTTTCCTATTTGTTCGGTCGTCATCGCCAAGTGCAGCATCATGACACGTGAAACACACAAAATAAATCTTTTCAATGTAAATATTTGATCTAGTTTAAAATGTAAAGTTTTATACAACATGAACAGTCTGAAATAAAAACCTCCAACTCTAAAATGTACACCTCTCTGAATGCACTATTGCCCCTTAAATACAAGTCCTATGAATGGGCCGTGGGGAGCTTCCTCCAGCTCAATTGTAGGTTATTAAACTGTCATTAGGAGCTTGAATTGGAATGAACTCTCTCACTATGGAGCCTTGCCTGTATTTCATGCACAGAAAAGTGTCTAATAAAAAGAAGAAAAAATGCTTTTTTGGTGCAACAACAACTGCGATGGCTAAGATTCACTCTCAAATCTCACCTTGAATAATTCACTCAATGCAATTTTCTTATTTTATTTGTCCACCCCTGTTGTTTTTGTATTTGTTACATTCTTTAAAGAGCTGCCTCTTGTGTTGCTTCTTTTGGTTTAACATCCCCCCTGCCCCCCCCCCCATTTCCATATCCTTCTCTCCTCCTATTCTTCATTATCTCCTCCCCTCTGGTCACCACCTTCTCCATTTCCAATTATTCACCCCTGACAAAATCCCCCCATTTCAGTTTCTCTCCCTTTTCAGTTTCTCTCCCTTTTACCGTCCAGCTCCATCTCTTGAGGTCACGCGGCAGCAGATCGATGTGTTCATTGATCTTCCAACATCTTAGTAAGCTTGCCTCTTATTTCCAAACAGACCATTAGCCAATCATTGATCTATATCAGACCATTAACCAATCATTAATCTGGGTCCCTATTTAAACAGAGGCTGCTGATTGGTTCAATAGTGACCACTGACCTGTGTGCAGCAACAACAGGCAGATCATTTAAACATTCAATCCCTCAACACCTCTTAATGATCTAAAATGGGTGTGCTTGGATATCATTAAATAAAATAATGATATTAATAGCAGGTGGATGCCTGATTTCATTTAAAATTGGTTTCAGCATGTGTGCGCGTGCCAAATCTACAATAAAATCTCACAAATGAACCTTGAGTTGCACAATGTGTTTCCTTGACACATGCACACATAGTTATGGACCTAAAATGCAACGGTTTCCTCCCTGAGGCTCCATGCTCAGTGTCACAGTTGGGTTTGGTTAAAACCCAACTGTGACGCGTAGCATTTGCTCTGCTGCGATTAACTGGCCACGTGAGATTGACACTGCAAAAACCTTGTAATTGGCTGACTGGGGTTGCTGACAAACGTGCAACACCTGCATTCACTAGTGCTGGACACATGAGTACCTGGACAACATGTTATGGTTGATCGGTAAGCATGCTGCATGTGTTGGCCGTGTCTATTCATCCACCCATCCATCCATTTACCCGTGCATGTATTCATTCGTTCATAAGCCCCACTGCCAGGGGGGAATGGGGGGGCGATAAAGTGAGGACGGGGTTAAATCTCAGTGGAACTTGCGCAGTCAAGTCCGCGGTCTCGTGCCGGAGGTCTCGCCCGTACGAGTGTTGGTACAGACGAGAGCTCGCGCTGTAAAGCGTTTGGGGATACATGAAACAAGGGCAGGAAAAAATCCCAAACATGTTTTTCTTTTTTTTTCCGTTTCGAATACCGGAACTGAGTGAATGTCACTCCTGCGCTCTGGACGATAATGGGATCATTTTCCTTGGAAGGCATCAAGCCATCCGCTGTCTCCAGGGTTGAATTGCGCTGTTTGGGAATGTGTTTGATGCGCACTAACATTTTTTTTTCGACATCTCTTCTTCTGGCCTTTTGATTCACGTGGAATATATGGACATATTACCATTTGATCCGGCAACCAGTTCATTAATCAAGCTAGAATGATGAAAATCCTTTGAGATGAAAAAAAGCACTTTTGGGGATAATTCTTTGCTTGTGCGCGGCTCGTGCCTCTTCTTGCGCCTCAGCAGCCTGTTGTCTGTGTCCGGAGAGAAACGCGCAACTTTGCCGCGAGCCGGAGCCGGAGCCGCAGCTGGAGCTGGAGCCGCAGCTGGAGCTGGAGCCGCAGCTGGAGCCGGAGCCGGGGCTGCAGCGGCGGGTCTGAGCGCCCCACGAGGGACACACGCACGGTGCCAGGACGGGGACCAACGGAGCGGCCCTGGTGTTCCACCATTCCGTGGTTGGACGGGGATTCCGGTGCAGCTGTGGAGTGCAGATGATGATGAAGACGGTGGTGATGATGGTGATGAATGGCCCGGCAGCTCGAGCAGGCACCGGGGTCTCCGTCTTACTGCTGTGCGCTCTAGTCTTTTCCCCACCGTGCGCTCACTGTCACCCGCAGCCGTGCCAAGTACTGAAACGGATCGGCCACACGGTTCGGGTCGGCGCTCTGGACGTTCAGCCCCGGTTGCTCTCCGCTACCGGCGGCGGCTCTGAGGAGTGGGACACCGATCGGATGGAGTTGGAAAAAGAGCGCAAAACAAGTGCCGGTGCGCCCGGATATGGAAGCCTGAGGACTAGAGGCACCGCCAATAACCCGCGGGGAGCCAGCAGGAGTAGGAGTCAGGCACGCCAGCGGGAGGAGAACACCTCCAGGGAGAACCGGGTGTTCGCTCCCCGAGACTCGATCCTCCTCGCCGTGGAGGCGATCAACCGGGCCGGACTGCTGCCATTCAATTTGTCATTGGAGCTCGTCATGGCCGTCGGGTCCGGACTCGGCGAGCTGCCTGCGTTCTCCGGCTCGTCCGCCGGCAGCCCCGAGGGCGAGGACCCGTTGTCCTTCGTTGAGAGTGTGTGTCACACCGTGGTCGTGCAGGGGGTTTCCGCCATGATCTCCTTTCCGCGAAACCGGGACGAGTTCGTGAAGTTGGAGTTCGTCTCGCTTGCGCTTCAGGTGCCGGTGGTCAGCGTTGTGCAGAGGGAGTTTACGCGCCAAAGCCAGGTAAAAAAAAAGTTATTCCTACATTGCATCTGAATTGTTGTTAACTGTTGATCGCTGCAAAACAAACAGCTGCTTTGGGTGTTGCAGATGTTGCGCATTGACTGGGATAAGTCAGTGACGTCCACCACACAACCACATATGAACACAACGCACTGGATTCACTTAAGTAGTAGTGAGTAAAATGTGTTAATGTGGATTTATGTGGCCCACATACGCATACAGAGATGAAGGGTGAGACATTTCCTCCTGTTCCTGTTAATCTTTACCCCCCCTTCTGTTGGCTATATTGTTTTAGAATGAATGACATGACATTTTATTTTCCTCTCATTTCTTGATTTCCAGCTCTCTTAGTGGCCCACAGTACATGGTGCTGCAATTTTTTAAAACAACGGAAAACAAAGGGTTTCTCTTTTTAGGAAAGGGGGGTGGCATTCTCTCTTATTTCATAAGGTTTCCAGTGGGGGAATGATGGAAGGCTTTGCGCACCCAGCAGCATGTCCTGAGGAATGAATGCAAAAACAACCACGTTGCCATCAGCAGAGGTTCATCACGATGGAGGGAGAGGGAGCACTTCAGTAAATTGTAGGATAAGATCCCATCTGAAATGGCAACTCAAACATCCAGCTCACTTCTGTAGTGATTCCCTCCCGTACAAAAAATGAATGGTAAACAGCTCTTTCAGAATCCAATTATCAGGAACACATTCATGCATTTGGTTGAGATGTGATCTGCTGGCAGTCAGACGCCCCACACTGATTAGTTGATGGAGTTTCAGTGCTTCTACTGTGAGTACAGCTTTAATCGTATGCTCTCTTAATGAATACCTTCATATACCTACAGTTATGTTTTACCAAACATTGTATCCAGCAGGCAATAAAACATTGTTCTAAGAAGTTATAAATCAAAAGATACAGCGGCTGCATCCTACGAATAGCAAGTTAAGCTATTGGACAATGTGCAGTGCTGATAGAAGTTGCAAAAGTTCACCTCTCATCCACTTAAAACAACTGTCTCAAAAGATTGAGATCTTCCCTCATGGATCTAGGGTACAAAACACACAACTATCCATATGCAATATCTTCCCCTCAAGCGCGTGTGATGAATGTTTGATGGAAATCAACCATAAAGCTGCCATTCTTAATAACCATACTGATGATTATCCGTGTAGTTTGCAGCTGGAATGAGAGTGAGAGAAAATTAGCCCAAATTAACACTCTAAATTCATCACTGGGATGGCTGATCAATAAGCATTCTGCATAGACACCTGCAGAGTGTGTGTGTGTGTGTGTGTGTGTGTGTGTGTGTGTGCGCGTGCTCGCGCATGTTCACATGAGGGTGTTTGTTTGTGGGTGCAGTTAGAAATCTCTCCCAAGAAAAACCAGTTAGTCACAAACACAAAGGTATATATCTAATCTAACTAGAGTATACACTGTAAACCTATTTAATTACATAGGGCCAACGGGGAAGTTACTGCATATCGATAGTTGTGTGTTTTTTTTAGTTCTCACAAATTGCCATCCTGCAAGGGGCAAAGAGCAATATATACACACACACACAATACTCTAGGCCAGTAGGTGGCAAGTGTGCCAGAACCCTTCAGTCAAACTAATGGTTTGGTGGTGAGTTGGGGGGGGGGTCATTACGCTTTCGCAGCAGGTGTTTTAAGTCCAAACAGGTTCATAGAAGTGAATTCCTATAGCAGACAATCTTGTAGATACGCAATGATTATTTAAATGATGAATAAATGTATGACTTTATAAAATTTGACTTGGCAATAAAAAAAATCACAATTGTTCAGAACCCATGTGTGATCTTATGAGAGATGGCTTAACTCCCTTCCTGATCATTCGAGTTGTGCGATTTGAAGGCTGACACCAATTCCTCTGAAAAATAGTTCACAAATTGTGAAAAAGATTTTACTGTCTTAAAAAAAGGATCTCATTAGTGTTTGTTGTGCGACATCGTTTGGGCTTCGCCCCAATGTTCACTGTTTCTAAAAACCCTTGACGCAGAATCCTGGCCACATTATCTCACATAAGCGACAAAATGATGAGGCTGAGTGAGAATTTGGACCTAATGGACCAAAATATGAAATGCAGCTCAGGGGAAGGGGACCAGGTGGGTCGGGAGAAGGTTGTGAGAGGCTTTGGAAGCAGGAAATGGTTCAGAATTTAGTGTATAAAAAGATCAGGGACTGAGAAACTCCCTGGGAAAGACCAGTTGTCTCCGATAGGAGGACCTAGTTTTCAAGCAGTCTCTCATACTGGCCCACAACCCCGAGGCTCATGTGAAGAGACAGCTTCTTCAGTGACAACTTAATTATTTAATTATTTACATTTAATTATGTAAAAACATGTGCGCTTTGCATCAAAAGTAAAGTCGCAGGTATGTCCAAGGATATAGGAATGTTTTTGACGTTGGTAAACAACCAGACAGTGGATGTAAATGCAGTGCTCAAACAGAAACGGTCTTTTACTCCCAAGTGTATAGTTAGCAGTTAGAAGATCAATCCAGAATAACGCCGAGGTATCCAAAAATCCCCTTGCCAAGGCACACTCAAAAACACAAACCGCAAGGTTTAATTACCACCAGGCACACACAAGGTGAGACGGCTTGAAAGCTTGTCAAGGAAGTAGAGCGATAAATAGGCAAGACACAAGGTACATACACAGGGATGGGAGACCATTAAGGACAGACAGCTGGAAAAAAACAGAGGGGGCTGGAAATCACACAGACACAGAAAAGAGACATTGTGACATATGGTGGAATGAGTGCAACATAATTAAAAGATGTTTTGCAGGTATACGTCATATCTACGGTTTAACTATCTGCAAAATTTGATGTAAAAAAAAAAAAAACTTTTCCGATTTTGCAGACATTATTAGACAGCTGTAATTATTAAAGCTGGATTAAGTGGTGCTGTACTTGGATGCGCCAGTTTCAACAGGCCAGAAACCACATAAAAAATATTTTTGATTACTAGGACACAGTAGACAAAGTGTAAATATCTTATTGGAATTTGGACAACCTCTTCAAAGTCACAATCAGTACCACTGTTTCAAAATTTAAACACAAAATCTTGTGTTGAGTGCCACCAAGTCCACTTTGTCAATTTCAACTATACCAAATAACATTTAAATGTGAGCTACTGAGAGCCACAAATAGTATGAAAGGAATGCACAGCCTGGCACTAAAATTAACGTTTTCTCATGCCTGTTCGTCACGTTTTGCTCTCAAGGCACTGTAATGCTGCAGGAGGCAGATTTCTAAGTATCTCAAGGCAGAAGGTTTTCTTTCAATTAACAGTCGGGAACAGTAGCAGTAACAGTGTTGGGCTGGTGGATGAAAGTTGTTGGATTGGAGTTGGACTCAAGTCTTGCTTGCACTAAAGGAGGACCTTCTTACCTGGACTCCATAAAGTTTTACTCAGGTTTCTGCCAATTTTATAATTCGGACTGGTCTCTATTCACTAAGATGGGTTTTAAGTTGTCATAAGGCTGGAAACTGGCAATGTGGTTTTGTAAAACTCATATTTGAACTATTTTGTATAACTTGTAGTATTTTATTTCAATGTTTTCCCCCACCTGTGGTCATGCCTCTCCCGGTGTTATGACGCTGAGGGCCACTGCCCCACTGACTTACTGCCTGTAAGTCCTATTCCACGATCACAGTGTTTAACCTCTGATGGTGACGGACTGTTAATAGTAAAAACTTTTTTTGTTTTTACTATTAACAGTCCGTTAATAGTCCTTTAATAAACTATTAAAGTTTTTTGGAGTGCATACTTTTACTGAGAAAATAAAGTATAAATCCTACACACAGGTACACACAGTGATCTTGAGATTGAGTTGTTTCAATTAAAGTAAACACATTAGTAGATTGTGCTGATTAGGACATTGGCGTAATCATATCTTCAAAATCTACCTGTGGAGATGAAGGATGGGGCTTTGTTGGTAGCTTTTTTAGTGTTCCCTCATGAATAACTGACATAAAGAGGCCAGAAGGATGAAGGGTCGGTCTATGGAGCGAGGGCTCGAAGCTGTGGGGTATTGACAAAGGTAGAACAAAAACAGTTGTGAGGTATTGCTTTTAGCTAAAAACATTTTTTTGTCATTTTTTCAAGACTGGAGAGTTTTGTATTTACTCCTGAAAAAACCCTACGAGAAACCTCTCTAAATCTGTTTTCAGACCAAACATATTTGTGAAGAGAAAAGTGATGAAAGGCAGAGCAGAGACAACAAAGCTGGGATTTTACAGTTTGTTAAATACAGCAGATTTCCGTATTTATGTAAGAGAGCAAGCCGCCGCTCTTCTGGGCAAATTTCTGCATGTTTATTTATATGAGGAACAAAGAGAGGGTTACGGATATATGGTGATCACAGTGCAGAAGTGCCGCGGCTGGGATTCAATCCTCCAATCGTCCTCGAGGATGAGAGGAGGTCAGCATTGGAGGCTCTGTGGACTGCATTCCCATTACATTCCCTGAAAAAGGACTCTAAAACCAAAATAAAACATACAGTATTGCTCCTTTTGATGCTTTGGTCGCAGCTATAATCCTTGCATGTATATGCAATAAGACGACGCATACTGATTATCTCTTTTGCATGCCCCTTGGGTAATGTGATTAATGGAATGATTGAAATTTACCAATAACACAACCCAATGGACTTTTAGTGCAAAGCTTGTGGAAAAGTTGTAAAGTCAATTACCCGGAGAAGCTGAGGGTGTGTAGTTATGCGTGTGTGACATATTGATCACTCAGGTCGTTGGTATGTTGGGTAATGTATTTGCCAACGTACACTGAAGCAGATCCGGCAGCCCAGTATTACAGGAGTGACTGTGTCAACCTTGAGATGTATCAGCTCTGATCTTCTGGCTCACTATAATCCTGTAAGTGCACTCTATGGGTAGAGTGCAGTAGGTCTGGTCTGGTAATAATGGCAATAAGGAAGCCAGCGGACCCATTTGGTGGTTTTGGCCTGCAGCAAATTACCTACAAATCATAGATATTTCTTATATGTTATTAAAGTCAACAATGTTCTATAGATATATATTATATATATGCCATAGATATATTTTATATTATTATATAGATATATCATATATTATATATTATTATATATATAATTATTTTAACCCAAGCATTCAACATTTTTTTAAGAGGTATGAAAATGGGTGCCTGATTTAGTCAGCTTCATTTAACTAATTATTTTTTGCTTTGGTGTCTTTGACTGCCTGATGAATCTCAGTCCAAAATGTCCACATGGCTTTGGTCAGAGGGAGGACTACCGAAGCTGTGCCGTCCAAGTCAGGTTCAGCAACAGCTGATCACTTAAAAATAATTAATTCTGCTGTGATGTGCCATCATCACAGCAGAAAGCTGGTGGCGTAATGTTTATTGATAGTGACTCACTGAACTGACGGTGAATATTCTGAATATAACTGCACGCAACAGTGAAATGCTGTAAGCTCCTGTCAATTTACAGCACTTACAGTAGTTTGGTTGAACAAGTTCTGCACTGCAGGGACTTGCGCAGGTTGCTGTATATGGCTGAGAGGACACTCAAAAAATGAATAATAATTATTTTGCAAGATATCACACCAACTGTTGCATGTAGATTTGTTGCAGGTGACAATGAAAACTTCTTCCTGTTTCAGGAAATGATAATGACGTGAGCAGCACACTAATAATGTTGTCCTTTCCAACTTACACAAATGGAACATTACCTGTGACATAAAACAAATATTTATGAATGTAACGGACTTTTCACCATGGGTCAACTATTTGCAGCTAATTCAGAAATTGTCAAAGGTGACTCAACATCATTGTAAGTAGAAATCCAACTGTAGGCTTGTTTACGGGAAATCCATAAGGTTATTTAGTGTAGAAAACAGTCAGCTGCATTGTAGTATGAAAAATAACTTGATGTAATTCTGCCTGTAACCGTCCTTGAACAGGATATAGTGTTCTCTTCTAAAGCTGCAGTCCAATTTAAAACGATACTGTCAAAAAGCCCATTTCAAAAATAGCAGGGCAAGCAAGCACTCATCCTCCAGTGATACAAACTATAGCGATTGGGTCCGTTTTAGAAACAGGTTGATCTTTGTTAAAAAATACTACAGAAATGTATTTTGAAAAGAAACGGAACACAATGAATCTTCATATTTTTGCATATTCTTGCCTTTAGGCATCAGGTGGACGGTTTTCACACTTCATCATTTACTGGTCTAGGTGGAATTTACACTAAAATGCTCTGTTCTAAAAATTGATCTGTCCAAAGATCAGTAATCAACTGATGAATAGAAAATCAGAGGAATTAAATCACATGGAATTTAGTGATTTAAAGTGCACTATGTGTCTATACATGTCTTTGTATATATTTATAGTTTCTTAAGTTAAGTTTTGCTTAAATACAAATACATTTTAAAAGCTCTTGAAAAATGTTGTTTATTTTTGCATGATGTGAATAATGATATTCATGGGAGCAGGTAAGTGGAGGCTGAAATTACATCCCACTGAATATATTTGTTCTGGAGGAAGAAATTGAATTCTGAGACAGCGTAACTTTGTTATTGGATTTATTTTTTGTCTCTTTCTTTTCTTTTTTTCTTCCATTCTCCACTGTACTATATCTATTTTCCTTCCTGGTGCCTCATAAAATCTAACCTAACCTCCTCCTCTACCGACCTTGTCCTTATTTGGCCTTTCTCCTTCTCTTTTTGCCCTCAACGTACCTCCTCCAACCCTTTGTCCCCCATCACTACTTCTTAATCACATCCATCACCCTTACATTTCCTTCTGTTTGGATTTATAACCGTCCGTCATCTCTATCCTGTCTCTTCCATTCATTAAATCTTACTCACGCACTCTCTCCCCACTCACGCCCATTCTTTCTATTCCCCTTTCCAAAATGACTTGCCCATATAAGCGTTACCCTTTTACAATCTGCCAACAGAATCCTCTCCATTTCCAACTGGCGATGCGGACCGTGGAGGCCCCACCATCCCGTCTCCTCTCTACCCTGCTGATGATGAACGGCTGGTGGGACATTAGCATTTTGCTCTGTCAGGAATGGGACATCAGCGATTTCCTCCTCCTCATCAACAACAACTCCCGCTTCCACTTGGGCACTCTTGTCAATCTGACAACTATCGCCTCAACCTTGTCATCGTCCTCATCTTCGTCGGTACCTTCGGGAACGGCATCGGATGTGGCAGCAGGGGCAGAGGCGTCCTCGTCGTCTTTGCCTTACTTCTCCCCCGCCGGCTCCTCCTCTTCTGCTTCTTCGTCCACGTCGTCCTCCAAATTGGACCAGCAGCAGGCTCTGATGCGGCAGCTGGAGGCCCTGAGAGAACCTTCGTCCACCAGGGGAGTGGTGACGTTCGGGTGCGAGATCCGCGAGGTGCGGCGTCTGTGGACGCTGGCCAGTCGGATGACGCTCCCAGAGTTTCACTGGGTTTTGGGGGACAGCCAGAATGTGGCCGAGCTGAGAACAGAGGGTTTGCCCCTGGGGCTGCTGGCGCACGGGGTCATGGAGGCCCCCTCTCTGGATCACTTTGTCCACGACTCGTTGGAGCTAGTGGCGCGGGCCGTGGGCAGTGCGGCACAGGAGAATCCCGCTCTGGCGCTCATACCCGGGACTACGAACTGCATGGATATACAAAAGAGAAACGGCAGCTCAGGGGAGTACTTGTCAAGGTAGGGAATCGTGTGAATGTTTACATCGCAATTGCACCTGCACATTCACACAGAATCAAATGAAATGGCCACACACTCAGAGAATGGTGATGTCGACGATATTCCTGCAACATAAAAAGGGAGTTTCAGCAAGGTGAAATACCATTTCTGCTTGCCTGCATGTATTTGGGCAAATCACACCAACTTTAGATACCCATCTTGTTTAAGAAATTTGAACTTGCACTTATTTATGCCTCCCGGGTGTCTTTCAGTTTCCCCTCCTGTGTGGTTAATAAAACCTTTTTGGATTTTAACTCGAGACAGCAGACACATGGTGTGAACGCAGCACTAACACGCACCTTTTAAAGTTGATTGTGTATCTATGGAATAGATGTGCTAATTGCCATTAGATTGCCATTAGATGGCGGCCAAAATTTTAGGTTTTCTTTGTACCTTTGTAGACAATCTATTTTGCATTTTATTTTCGGGATCAGGTATTCGGAGCTACTTGCTAACTTTGTCTGCTGTGAGCAGTTGGCAAGGAAGAATAGTGAGTTTTTAGAGCCCAAACAGCTGCTAGCCGCTTTCAAAAACCTGGTCCATCTCCACCGCCCTCAATGTGCATTGTGGAAGAGTGTACAACTCACACTCATGCAGATTTTCAATAACAGTTCAGCTGCTGCGTCAGTTACTGAAACATACATGCATGCACTATTGTGCAGCGCATTCTAACGCACACTAGACTCTCAGCAGACAACTGCAGCAGTGTGATGATTTGCATTCAGCAGCAGTCTTGTAATCTGGAGCTGGGCCATTCTACTTTATAGTCTTACAGTTATCTAAGATATGGATGAAGAGTCATGTGCCAGTGCATTACCATAACAGGGTGACCTTTTCCACTGAGATTTTTCTCAAAAATCCAAATCAGCAGAATGATCTCTCCAGGATAAAGCAATTGAACAAGATGAGCCTGTAGAATATCTTTTTATTGTGTTTTTCTTTTCTTTGGTTCATTTTAAACTGTACTGAGTCGCCTGCCAGTGTTTACATATGACAGAACAAAGAAACAGGATATTTTATCAAGTTTATTAGAGCCTTTTAATTAACCCTGTGAAGGCAAGGTGTTCACCCAAAGAGGTCTGGTTCCCAGAACTTTGTCTGATGATGAGATTTGGAAAAGTGTGACATTTTCATTGTTTGAGGACAGCTATAAGAAATGAAATAGTAATATACGGTATACAAATCGGTTACCGGTTCTCTGTTAGTAATTCACTTTTTGCTCTGGTTTTGATGGGACTGCCCCATCGCATTTATGCTGCTGTGTTTAATATATGTTGACATTTCATTCTTTTTCCAATTTGTGAATGTCTCACCAGGTTAGAAAGATGGTGATGAATTGAATTGATGTTGTAATCATCCTCTATTACCATTAACTTACGTTGCGCAGTCTAACAATTTAGTTGATTTCCTAATCTAAATGAACTTTAATCTGATTGCGGGGTTATTATGGTTTAGTTGTCAGATGCAATTATCTGTACCTGTATTTCCAGCTCAATCTCATTCCCAGGCTGTCAAATGTCACCAATGTCATAAACGTCGGCACCTGATACATACAAGGCACAAGGAACCCTAACGTCTGAACTTACTTACAGAATGTTGTGTTACTCCGGGTAAAGGTTACCTAATTGCCCTAAGCCCACATATTATGTGTTTTTCTCTAAAACTAAGTCGTTCTATTGCCTAAACCTGAGCAATTGTTTAAGCAATTCACACCTACAGAGATGGAAAACAAATTGCTTTTCAAACCTTGCAGGGCTGATTCAGCCTTTTCTTCAAATATATTTAAAATAAGAAAAAAAAAAAAACGATTTAATCAATGTTGACTGTTTGTCCCTTGACAAGCCATGCTATTGCATTCAATGACTCTCCTCCAGTTCTGACACTAGCTGGGATCTGGAGATCATAGATAGAATGCACATGAAGAGGTCACAAAAAGCCTCAAGCCCTTTTTATGTATTTAGCACTATTTGTGAGCAGGGAGATGGTCACAGAACAACTCACAATACGATACTATCACGATGATAGTGATGGTGCAGCAATACCTGATACTTTGTGTACAGCTATTGCAGCTTTAATAAATGATAAGTATTAATTATCAATTTACGTAACAGTTATATATATAATTGAGTTATGAATTTAAAACCCATAAAATATGAATAATACATTATGGCCCACGGTTTACAGCAAAAACCACCATTGGTTCATATGAAACGCCACCCAATATTATGTATGAATGAAGAATATGATGAACCGTGCAATGAATCAGGATAAACCACCAAGTAAATGTCTATCATTTAAACAACATTATTTCTAACTGGAGGAACTTAATTTGGCATTTAAAAATCAAACATTTACGTTTGGAAATTGTAATGTTTCCCCCGGACGGAGTGGAAGTTAGGCTGCATGCAGAAGGGGCCGTTCCTCGGCGGCCACCGATCGGATGAATGTAGTTTGTTGAATCGCATTCTTCCAGCTGGATTGTGCATTCACTAACATTATCGGAAGACTTGTTGTCTTATTTGAGGTTTGGCTTGAATTGTTCTTCCTCGTCTCTGTCTCTCTCAGCATGATGCTGAATCATCGTAGCCGCTGGGGTAGTTATGGCTCTTTGGTGCATCGCACGTCAGACGGCACACGATTGCCAATGTCACCAACACAAAGCTCTATTTGGCAATAGAGCCGTGGTATCAGGTGCTGATAGAACGCAGTGTCAATAGAGTAGAAGCCAGAACGCTGGGGACAAATGTAAATAAACATCAGTTAACAGACGTCCACGTGGATGGTGGGTATGTAACGGAGGACTGGGGAGAGTAATTTGGGGTCAAATCAGGATGTATTCATCCTCACTATTGTAGATGCACCAGCTATGCAAAGTTACATTTGAAAAAAAATAGAAGAATCAGACAGACAACCATGTGAAACAATGGTTCATATCTTCGAAGGGGCCCTGCACACTTAACAAGTTGCACTTATCAATACATTTTCTGCACACATTGTATAACGTATGTACGTTTGTATTTACTTTTTGTGTGGATGTGTGTGTTTGTGTGAATGAATGCAAGAGAAAAGAGAAAACCGATCTAAAATGAATTCAGGGAAAAGGGGAATTAAGGTCTTGGTATCATGTTGGTGTGAGTGTACAGGAATTGGAATCGTATAATTCCCAATGGAAAGAAGTTTAAAAGGAATCTGCCTGGCTAATATTTCTATTCAGAAAGCAGTAAAATGTTGGCAGTACATTTGTGTCTACCTAATTAGAATATAAATAGCCTAAAATACTCACATAAATAATTCATGGTATGAATAAGTAATTAAATAAAGCTGATACATGTAGAAGGATTAAAATTCAGTTTTTGGGGAAGTCTGATGTTTGCTTACTCTCTATTTGAGTAAGCAAACATCAGTTATCACTTGCTTTTCTGCTTGGTTTATGGATTTATTCATTATTACTTTCAATCCCATTTCTCTCATTTGCTTTGACAGGCTTCTGTCAAGCTGTAACATGGATGAACTCTGATGGTCACAGCCCAGATATGTATTATTATTATTAGTGGTATTGTTGTTACTTGTCATAATAGCAATACATAATATAAGATCTTTGTGCTCCCAAGACAAGACATTTCAAATATAGCATAGTGATTTTATTCAAGTTCACCAGCATTTTAACTTGGACACATGTAAGCGGCTGATGAGGAGCGACCTTTCCAGGGATTCTGATGCAGCCACAGGAAATCCAACAGTCGTGTTTCCTGTCACTGCTCGTGTTGGAGCTGTGAGACTGGAGTAGTTGAGAGACCACGGTTACAACTGGATTGGAGCAGCTTGTTTCTAAGAAAATTGGGAACTAACAGGGGTTAAGTCGTGTTCTGAGATGCATTTCGGCCAATGGGATCTGACTCGTTTGTTCTCCGCCTGGAAACACAGTTTGCTCAAAACAGGAACGATGCTACTCGACTACAAACAAAACCCCGAAACCTTCTGAGACGAAGATCTAGTCCCGTTCATGTCATCGTTGTTGTATTTCAACATGAAGACCAGATGAAGTAGATATCTTGCTCCTTCTAAAAGGAAAGTGTCCATTTAAAAGCCCATGAGAGACAATGATGAGTTGTGTCCACTAGATTGAGAAGCTTAGGGAGGAGAGTTACTGGGTAGGTGGGAAAGTATGTGATAAGAAAGGAAGAGAAGAAATAGTGCGCAGAATAGAAAGACACAGACATAAATCCCCTAAACTAAAGGGGCTTAAGCCCTGTTTTGGATAAGATATTGACAAGATAAACATCCGCAGTCTGTCGTATTAACTGGATAAACATCAGCAGCTTGACGTATTAATTTCATAGTCCTTTGCGATAAAAAAAAAAACATTTAAAGGATGCTACTTCACAAACTATGTCCTTTTTGGGGAACATTTTTTGACACTAACTGATAATAAATGTTACGTTGTTGACTGATATCTTGTAGGTAATGTCATATATGGACATTTTTAATGCATGTTTTGCTTGCTCTCCTTCATGGCCGCTGAACACAAGCACTATTTTGTGTTTCTACTTCTCCTCGTGAACCATTTTTTTTAGATGATTCATGAGGCAAAAAGACGAAGGCGGCATGACATTAATTTAGTGTTGCTGGGTTATAGATGTGATTCACTTAGACGTCACTCACTGACTCCTTTGCACTTCAAATGCCACCATTTTGTCGTTGATGGAGTGTATTTGAATCATGTATCATTGTATAAAAAGTGTTTTTTTTATTTTTATTGGAGCGTAGGAGGGGCCCAGCAGTGCTATTTATGTATATGAATCAATTCACTGAAAGAGATTTAATCCCAAAATTCAGAAAGTCCAGGAATACTTTAAACTTTAACTGCTTTAAACATCCGTCAGTGCCTTTCAACAACATCAAGAGTCACAGAACAAGTTGCACAAATTCTGTTATGAGGTTGCTTCAATCAGCATCTGATCGAGGATTTAGTTATTCAAGTAGAATAAATCAGAATTAAAGTGTTCAGCTGCAAGTTCAAAACAAATCTGATTTGGGTCACTCTTGCCTGCAGTCTGCAACATGATCTGTGTGCGAGACTGCAAACTTAAATAACTATTGAGATTGTTTATTCATGATTGCAGTGTTCTTTTTGCATACATAGAAGTTGTACAATGATATTGTTTTCATATCACATGATACATGCCTAATTACTTGGGTTTGGAGAACAGTATATTCACAAACACATTTTTCATTAAAAGGCTCCTAAAAAGCATAGTTCCATGTTTTCACCCCAACGGGTCAATACTGCAGCCTGGTCGGTGCCCCTAAACCTCCAATTCTGAGGCTCTGCGAACCCCTCTAGCAGGAATCTAGAGCACATTAGAAACGATCAGGTTTATGGGGAACAATCCATTTTTCTCAGATTGAGTGTGATTGATGTTTGTTGATGAACCCGCAGAGTGGTTAACGACGATGGGACGAAATCTCAACGTTAACTTTTGCATTGGACAAATTTGCATGCAGTGGTTAATTGCGGCAATCTAATATTACAAGTAATGGTAATAGTTGGTGATGAGAACCTCAAGGTTCTGCTCATGTGAGTGCAGTCACATGATTTATATTCATGCATGGCCGAAAGTGGTCCAACAAATCCCTTGAAGAGAAATTATTTCTGCTGCCTGGAAAACCCATAAAACTCAGCTCCCTTCACGGGACTCCTCTCTGCTGACATGCCCTGCTGGTATTAGACTAAAGAGGAAAGACTAACTATCACAACACGTGTCCTTGTAACATGCAACACCCTGTGCACTGTCAGGAATGTGCGAGCGCACGTCACTATCATTAAAGACAATACCGGGTAGATCACCACCTGCACGCTGCAGGGAACACTCTGACCTTCAAACGGACTGGTTGGGCTGTTACGTCAGCTCCACGCCAGTTGAAGATGTAGGACAGTTAACAAGGTGGCCGGAAAGTGATTTCCGTTTTTATTGTATTTTTTACCGCGAACAAGGTGAGGAATTTGGTTAAAGCTCACGTCTTTTCACATCATTACCACCTGGAGGCATATCAAAGCATCGTGCATCTCTTCGCACCGAACGGATGCCCTCATTCTTCCCTACGTCCAAACATATTCATTCCAGTGGACAAGTGTGCGTGTGCACGTGTGTGTGTGTGTGTTTTTCTTTGTGTGAGTGTGTGTCCGTCTGCTCTGATATCTGACACTCTCAGACAGCCAGTAGCACGGCTCAGTGAGAGAGATGTGATCACTGGACCATGGTCACCCGTATTCTATCACACCCACACACTTTAGACAGCCACTGAGGCCACCTAGATAATACACCTCTACCGTCCTGGTGTTACACTATTAAATTGGGATTTTTTCTATAAACTAACCATGGGTGAAATGTAATCGTACATGTAAGCCTGTAAATCCTGCCGCTACAGAGAACCTGGAAAATATACTTTTTGGCACCGGCGACTTTACTACAAAAGAAAGCCAGCAGAAATCTTACTTAGCAACTGTGAATCTTGCAGTTAAGTTGACTTGCAAACGTTAATAACGTATGCTGTTGACACTGATACGAGGCAAAATAGCTTCAAAAAGGTCACTCAAAGGTCACCCTGATTACCACGAGAGTCGTTGTTGGATCTTTTTTTCCTCTTGAATGAAACTGTCTTGCAGAAGAAAACGTGTTTGCATTGCTCATTTGTTTAAATCCCTAAAAGGATATAATCTCTACATGCACATACATTTCAGTTTTTAGACTACTAAATACTAAATACTATACTAAATCTAAGAACACATATTTGTTTTTCAATGTTGTGTATGCATTCATTTATTAAAATGTAATTACAACAGTAAAGATTACAACATCCTTCTCGTTTAACCACCTAAAAGTAAATGTATTTGTAGGTAAGATGAAACTGACTGTTTTTATTAAATTGATGCTTTTATCCAAAGCGGCTCACAATACGCACAATTTGGTAACAGGGTACAGACCCAGAACAGTAAAAGAATTAAAGTATAAAAAGCCATGCCACGAAGTGCTATAAGTATGTGTCATCTTTAGTGCCATCTAGTTTAGTGGGCAACAGCAATGAACTAACCTAGCTGTCAATCCCAATACCTATAAACCCATTCTCATCTGCATGGAAGGAAACACTACACTGATCTACTGCTGCTATGGACCCGCTTCAAATTTGCAAAAAGTCCTGAACATTATCTTTTAATTCCTCTGCTCTCCACGTCACCTTTTCCCTTGTCATTTATTTCCCTCAGATTTCTATCCAACACATCGTTTGAGGGCCAGACAGGTTTGATATCCAGAGACACTCACAGCCAGAATGTCGTCTCGGAGGCCCATCATTACATCTGGTCCCTCCAGCTGGACCCTCTAGGGCAGCCGACGTGGACCCGCCTGGGACGCTGGCGCAGCGGCGAGGTTCTGATGGACCGCAGGGCCTGGCCAAGCCATCAGGGATCCGGCGCCGGAGGAGACTGGCGCCGATCGGCGCGGCTGCACATGCGCGTGGTGACTCTGGTGGAGCACCCGTTCGTATTCACCCGGGAGGTGGACGGGGACGGCCTGTGTCCCGCGGGCCAGCTGTGCCTCGACCCGCTCACCAACCAATCTTCGGTTTTGAAAGGATTTTTCCAGAACCTCGCAGGACCCAACGGATCCGTCCCCACGGAACTGAAGAAGTGTTGTTATGGTTACTGCATAGACCTGCTGGAGAAGCTGGGAGAGGACATGGGCTTCACTTTCGACCTCTACATTGTAGGCGATGGGAAGTACGGGGGGTTCAAGAACGGTCGCTGGACCGGATTGGTGGGGGACCTGCTCAGCGGCGCGGCCCACCTGGCGGTGGCCTCTTTTAGCATTAATTCGGCCAGAAGCCAGGTCATTGACTTCACCTCGCCCTTTTTCTCCACCAGCCTGGGAATTCTGGTGAGTACCGCTCTCTCTCTCTCTCTCTCTCTCTCCTTCTCAGACAATCCTTTCCTTCTTTTTTATCGTTTGCACTTTTCATTCCTCTCACTCCCGTTACTCTCGGGCCTGAGCGTCCGTGACCTCACGTCATGCTGGTGGTCAGTATCGATACAGTATTACCATCAGCCCTGTGTTATTGGATTCTAATGCACTGCCACACACAGGGCTCGAGAGGGAGCAACTTAGTGTGGTGACCCTATTACTACAATTACTATACCTCGCCTCGGATGCCGACAGAAAGATGCCACTGAAGTGAGAGATGTTGCGATTTGTTTTGCCTTTTACAGCAGATGCCTTTTCTACTACCAATGTATTTTGAGGGGGGGGTTGCAACAGTTTTTTCTGTCTTGTCCCCTCCCAATTAACGCCTATGGACTACCTGCCTCTTAACACTGGGTCAGTTGCTTTGAGCAACTAACAATGATGCAGGGGAGTCCTAAGTGAACACGAAAGGCGAATACTAAGTTTACTCAACTATTTAAAAAAAACGTGTCATATCATTTCTTATCCCCCTCCCTCACTAGGTGCGAACTCGAGACACAGCCGCACCCATCGGCGCCTTCATGTGGCCTCTCCATTGGTCCATGTGGCTCGGCATCTTTGTCTCCCTCCACGTCACCGCTGTCTTCCTCACCCTGTACGAGTGGCACAGCCCGTTCGGCATGACGCCTCGCGGACGCAACCGCGACCGAGTGTTCTCCTTCTCCTCCGCGCTCAACGTGTGCTACGCCATTCTCTTCGGGAGGACGGTGGCCATCAAGCCGCCCAAGTGCTGGACGGGCCGCCTGCTGATGAACCTGTGGGCCATCTTCTGTCTGTTCTGTCTGTCCACCTACACCGCAAATCTAGCTGCCGTCATGGTCGGGGAGAAGACCTACGAACAGCTGTCAGGGATACATGACCCAAAGGCAAGAAGTGGGCAGCACTGCCAAAAACCGCAGATGCACGAATTCAAAGTCTGCAGTGTTGGGGAATTTAGATTAGAAATGGATTAAGTTTCCCGTATTTGTTCAAGCTGTTGTGGCCCTTTTCTTTAAAAAATGGCTCTAATGTACTCTTGCACACTGGAGTATTAACTTTATTAATTTTAGCAGAGCTCCTCTGGTGGAGAGTGCATTCTTTAAACGTTAAGTCAGCAAAGATGTTATTTGATTAAACCAGCTTTTGTTGTAGCAGTCAGCATATGGTGATTCATGCTTTTGGTCAATGCACCTCTGATTCAAAGGAGTGCATCGAGAACCAGAAAAGATTTACAATCAACTGAACAAAGGGGAAGCAGGAGACTTAAAGTGAAAAACATCATTCTTATTTAAGATTTTTGAAGACATTGGAAGGGTAACATTTGGGGTTTATTCCTTCTTTCGTGCAGTTACACCATCCCTCTCAGGGATTCCGATTCGCCACGGTGAGAGAAAGCAGCGCAGAGGACTACCTCAAGAAGAGTTTCCCCGAGATGCACGAGTACATGAGAAGATACAACGTCCCGGCGACCCCAGATGGCATTCATCAGCTCAAGTAAGACAATGCCACAAGTCCTGCACAGTCCTGATACGTATGCCATGCAGACACACACACACACACACACACTCTACATTCATGTCATAGCCGTCACTGTCCTCTGGTAGTCGTTAACAGGGCAATCAGTTTTTTTATTGCTTTCACCGTCCCCTGGAAACCAACTTAGACGCGTGGGGGGGAAAAACCCTCAAAAGAGAGTCCTAATTTGAAGACAAAAAAAAAGGAAAAAGACATGCTGCTCTTCCCCAGCAGCCTGTTTGTATTCAGATCTCGCCCTCCTCCTTGCGCTGCCATTGCTGTCATCATAAGCCGCTTCGGCATTCAACTGGCGTCCCCGTGGAGCAAACCAGAATGTAGTAAGAAGAAGCTGCTGAGCACAAGACCCAGACTGTGCAGGACACAATTTAAATGGATGAAACAAGATTGTCCTTTTCCTTTTTTCTTCTAACTGAGCTTGTAGAATGCTGATTAGAGGATTCAAGGGAAAATGTCATCTTTAGAAAATTGACAACAAACAAACAACTGGGGAACAAGACAGCAAACGAGTTAGTCGCAGTGCAACTTAATACCCGGAGCGCAGGTGTTTACTCGCAAATGTATCAGGCATTAGTTATCTAATATTTACATCATCATGTAGTATATTGTGTTTTTGTTCCTTCTTACTGTATTGATGTGGAAATGAAACTCAACTTTCAGGAATTGGTCCGAAACCAAACTGGATTTCAGATTATTCATTATCATTATTACCTTTATATCGGCGTTGCTTTTGCATAGATTGAAGAAAACAGCTGCAAAGCAATTTAAGTGATTCTTTTACTTAAAAATACTTTAGTTTTGTTTAATTCCATCTTGGATTTTACTCTGGAGAAATAACAAAGGTTTTATTCGAGAACTAACAAAGTATGAATATACAACGGAAAATTGTACATGATCATATATTTTCTTCCTGATCATATACATTTACATACTGTATATTATAGTTGTGTAATAAGCTTTCACTCCATCCACCAGATGAGCGTGAACTCGCCCTCCCTCCTTTCACCATCACCTGACTGTCCCACCCATTTGCACACCCGTCCCCACTTCCCCTCATGAGCACTGCAGTTACGTTCCCCTCCTACTCTCCCACCTGTTTCCACTTCCCCTCACCAGTTACCTCACCCCTGTGAAAAGTAGATACAACAATCTGAACATCCTGATGACTAAAACAACACTGCTTGTGGAAATGTACTGAACTGTAGACGTCTATTTGCAGTTTTCCCTCGGTTCTCTTCCCTGCACATCGTGCACCGATGGTCCTTCAGCGCGATGAACATCTCCGACAACTGAAATTGAAACAAGCAACAGCTGCTAACCGCATCCAGCCTGCTACACAATTAGAGCATTTAGGGAAAGCGCAGTGACTGGAGCGCCATCAGCCACCAGACAACTGTCTTTTGCTGTTTCGGTTCTCTTATTAAAGCGGCAGCGGTGTTGCTGTTTAGCAAAACGCGAGGTCCTACCTGATAAAAACCCACGTCTTAATATGTCATGTGATGTGATGTGAAAGCAGTTGCAGGATCTGCTTCAGATATCCAAAATAAATGGAACGCTGCATCATTTTTTGTTGTGGGTAGCCGGTAACATACATTCACACGCATTCAAGTATCGTGTTTTAAACACGTATTCGGTGGATGTGTGGGTAGTGCTCTGATCATAAAATGAATTTCATGCATTATTATCCAGCACCTTGGTTGAAATACCAAGGACATGTGCTTCAGCCTGTAATAATGAATAGCCAGGTTGTGGGTGGGGGATAGTTGAGAATTTCAAATACCGGCCCCCGATAACGAGCATAAAACAAAAAAGCCGTTGCCGCATTCGGATCCCAACAGGCTGTACCTGTCAGTGAAGAATTGATTTTTAAAAGCCTTGCTGTTGCGAATTAATATCTCAACCATGTATAACAGACTTGGAGCAAGGAAATTGGGTAAATTGGAAGATATTGGCGGACAGGCAGTTATTTTACTGGAATATGGCCAAGAGAAGTGTTGGAAACGCACTGCCAAAAGGTTGGGAGAATTTGTTAAATCACTGACATATGTTCATTGGTTGTGGTACACGGCCTTCTGAAAAACGCTCTAAAACCTCCATGAGCTTAAAAGCAAAAATATAATATATCTTTTTTTTTAACCTTCAACCGTTTATTTTTTATTGGACAGAAACAAAACATCCTCACTTGCTTTTCTACTCATTTAACTTGTACTATTGAGTGAAAGTAATAAAGCTTACCTCCGAGGAGACTTCTTTAGACTAAGCTGCGAGGGCACAGGTGGGACATGAGGACAAAAACAAAGATGAGCCTCAGAGTATCCGAGCGAGATGACAAAGTGAGGTTCATTTAAGTGTGTGTCTCAGGAGGTCTTTAAAAGTTAATTTACCAGAGGCCTCCCTTACAAATGTCAATCCCAGAAAAACCCAGGAGATGTTTAGTGCTACGATTCCATCCGTCACCACGTTCAATACTTGACTGACGTCGATGGACTCCATCTAACTGTTTGTCCTCAGCGATCCGTCAAACATCATGTGAAAAAAGCCATGGGTTTAAAGTCGCTTTGGATAAAAGCATCTGCTAAATGACCTGTAATGTAATGAATGACTAAGTGCATGCTAGTGTCACGATAAGTCCAGGGACAGGGGACAGCACTCCAGCGCAGACTTCCAAAAATCAAAGTACTTTATTTAAAGTTATATACAACATGCTTAAAGGCAAACAGGGACCGTGGCAACCAAAAAAACACACACACATTGTTTAAATACACTGGGAAGATGCAGGTGATTGAACACAGGAGGAAATGACAACAAGGAGAAAAGGCGGACAATGACACGAGCACACGAGAGGCAAGAAACCACAAAATAAAACAGGAAATGACCCCACACCGGCACAGCTAGTGTATTATGTGAATGCTGAATAGCAAAAAGGGAAACAATTTGAACTAAAATAATCCTCCCTGTGTTGATTTCTTACATGAAAGCATTTAGCGTTTTTAGTTTTTGCAAATTGATTACTTTAATTTAAATTTACAAATGAGGCATCAATGCAAAACTGGTGGATTTAGGTGAAATCTACAGTCAGAGTCGTAAAATTAACCCACATGTTTTACTTTGGAGGTTTTCTTTCCGCTTGTGTGAATGAAGACATTTCTTTTGTGAATACAGCCCAAAATCCTTAAATGGACCAAGTTTTTGGGTGTCATACATCGATTATTAAAGCAGGGATCCCAGTATCTCAGTCAGAAGCTCCTCATTAATGAAGGCATACAAAATGCAAGGCCTAGTCTTTATTTTTACTACATCTACACTTCAACTAATTGCTTTGCGTTTACAGGGCTGACCCTCAGAGACTGGATGCATTCATCATGGACAAAGCGCTGCTGGACTACGAGGTCTCCATAGATGCAGACTGTAAAACACTAACAGTGGGGAAGCCCTTTGCTATAGAAGGTAACACATGCTTATTATAAAGACAAATAACTTACTTATTTAAGATTGAGGTAGTTCTTCTTTTTTTTTTTTTTTTTTCATTCAGGTTCCACCTGCATGACTGCAGCATTTCAGGAGAGCCCAGAATTCAACAATATCAATCAATCAGCCTTTGCACGGCAGTTAATCGTCTTGCTTTCAACAGCTTAGATCCCCTACTGCCTACTTTTAATCTCTGGCCCACTTAGCGAGCTTCTTCCTCCCACTGTGAAGACGTTCCCATGGTGCTTGCTTCCATTACAGCCCACCATGGTCCAGGATTCCAGTGTTGTTAGTAATTACCTAATGCACCCTTAAGCCCCGAAGGATACGGTGCAAATCAATGGCGTGCTGTGCACTTTTTGCCCGGGCGAGCTACTACTGTAAATGGCTGTCGCTGAATTTGTCACACTTTCCTGGCATGCTGAGACGTTCTGAGATTTACGCGCAGATCTGCTCACCGCCTTAAGCAGCCGCATTGTTTCAGAGGTGATGATGGTGCTTTCTGACAAGCAGGACTCCCTCCCTTTCTGACCGGATGTTATTTTCCTTTCTCTGTGAATGAATATAAATAAATGTCACTGGCGCGACAGAGGAATGATTTGCGATCGTGTGTTTCTGTGCGTGTCCGTTGGCAGGCTACGGCATCGGCCTGCCTCAGAACTCTGCTCTCACCTCCAACATCTCAGAGCTCGTGAGTCAGTACAAGTCAGACGGCTTCATGGACATGCTGCATGACAAATGGTACAAGGTCGTGCCCTGCGGGAAGCGCAGCTTCGCCGTGACCGAGGTAGGAGCGCAACCACCTTCTCTATACAACATGTACAAATGTATTGTTTGGTATTATGACATTTGAGTATCTGTTGAGTTGTGCCATATTGAATCTTTCTGTCCACACACGTGGATATCGCTCAAACACAAAGGAGTGTCTCGGTTGGTGTCATGGATTGAACTTACTGCTCAACATACCAGAGATAAATCCCAAAGCTGCATTAATTGCTATTCTTATTTTAAGATTGAATCGACGGACATCTCAGCCAGCCCATCTCCTAATCATTACATTCTCATGCAACAAAACTGCATTGTAAATAATGTGTGGAGGGAATCATATTTCTTTCTGGATTAAGTAAGGCTCGCTTTAAGGAAACCGCTTGCTTACGTGTTTTCCACAACAACGTTATAAGGATATGACAAAGTAATGTAACAAATTGAACTATGTAGAAAGGAAACTGTTCTTCATCATAAAATATAAAATAACTTGTTTGTATTTCTGGATAGTCAGAATTAATTGAATTTATTTGTAAAGCAGCTTTGTTTTCTCCCCTTATTCCAAAACGTTTCTCATTATTTCAGAACTTTAATGGCTCCCAGAATAATTACCCTACAATGTCTACACGACATCGATGTACAGCTCCTTACCGCCGTGTCCCCATAACTTCGGTCCACTGCCCCTGGGTCCATTCCACCCTGCTGTTACCGTGCTCTCTCAGCAGCCCGTCCCCCTCTCCACCCTGCTGTGACTAAGGCCCACTCAACCATTATCAAGCATCAATTAAAACTCTTATCCTCCCCAGTACTTATTTTCATTGAATGCAAAGGCATAAAAGCCCCTCCCTGTCGCTCATTACGAAGTCTGATCAAACGGCCCTGGCGATGCCGGCGGACGGCAGCATTACTTAAACACCAAATACGTCATCGCTAATGCACGACTTCTGAGTCTCAGATGAGCAGCGGAAGCAGCGCGCTGCAGTGCAACAGATTCCGTGTCTGTGGAGGGAACCGTTCCCCCGCTGCGCGACAGCCAGACGTGCTGCAGATGCCATCTACAACTGCAGACATTGAACTTGCTCCGGGGACATTTCATTTTGCAGCATCACGCCTCCACCTGCTTACGCCTACAGCAGAGAAAGCTGTATTTCTGCACACTTCTCGTTCTCATTTATGCACACCGCTGTTATATAAGTTACATCGAATATCTTAGTGTAAATTGATTAACCTGAACTGTGTAGCATGCGTTTGCAAGGTTACAATTTGCTGTCAAAATAAACACACAACAGGGGAGTTCATGTGATATCAGCAATATTAATTAATGGCGAGCCAGGTTTAGTTTATTGCTGCTCAGCATTTCTATTTTTTTTTAGCAACCTATTAGTTTGATTATTGGCTACTGGGAATCTCAAGGGAGGAAAAGCTGATGGATTGGCTCCAGCGGAGGCAGCCGAACTCTCTGGCATCCGTCCAGCTCCCTGTCACCCCAAACACTTTGATCCCATTTGAAGTAATAAAGTCAATACCAATAAATGGCATATTACTCAATCCCCTAACATGAAGATGGCTTTACTTTAAATTTACCTGGAAGCAAACTGGGATCAAAGAGAGGAATATTGTAACTAACTAACCAATGCAGTTTATAAGTGTAGTTGGGAATTATGAGGTTTACAATTAGAGAGAGGAGAGCGGAAGAGTGTGTTTTGCCAAAACCTTGCAAAATGTGCTCAAATGTGCTGATGGAAGGAGGCTCATAACTATGAGGAATGTTGGAGCGGGTCGATCAACAAAAACGTACAGCGCTTTTTACACACTGGGGCTAAGTATATGATTAGAGATTAATCTCATCCTCAGTTAGCTTGTTTATATACACACACATATATATATTTATTTATTTACCAGCGTGACTTTATAATGCAATTATTGCCACCGCTGCTGCATCACAAGCCGCTCAAAACTCAGCAGTAAAAAGATTCTGAGGAGAAATGTACTTCTACCGTATCAGCAACTGACCCACAATTAGGAAAACTGTGATTTCCCAATATGAGACGGCACACTTGCAGAAACATTTCTGAGATGCTTCTCTATGGTATTGACACATTTAGAATAGAATTAGTGCCAATTAAGATTTGTGAGGCGGGAATAGTTAATATCCCAGCACGAGGACAGGTTACTAAGGGAAGGTTATATCCCTTATTCCAATGTGTTTGGGGCAAAGCTGAATCAGGTATCGTATGCAGCCATTGCAGTTTTCACTTTAGTGACCTTGTTATGCTGTTGCTTGTTCAGTTATTACTCTTCCGCTACCTCATGGTGTTCTTTAGTTCTGATAGGATTTAAATCAAAGCTGGAAGAAAACCTGAGCAATTTTCTCCTTTCACTCATTCTTCGGTAGAAAACGTCGCAGTGATTGCAATATTTTAACGCCAAGTTATGGGGAAAATAAATAAATGATGCATTACATCTGGCAACGCAGCGTTTTGTCTATGCAAGCGGTTTTTGATGGAATTTTGAAAAGAACGGGAGCCAATGACTCCCGGGAGGTCGGCCAAACCTTCTGTAATCGAGACAGTTTAGGATCTATGTGCTTCTGACAGTGGTGAAAACATCGATTGGTTCGCATATTCTAATGTGAAACAATGGAAAACTAAATGAAAACAACACTAATGCTATTATAAAATTGTTAGCTGGGAAACTTTTGTATATGCGTTTTGCAAACAAATCAAAAGATTGTGCTGTGGCCGGAGTACAACAATTGCTTGCATTACTATGGGATGCTCATACATACAAATTAATTTTCTCTTTCTCCATTGTATTATACAATATGGCGTGCATAAAATTCACCCTCCGTCTCTAACACTGTTTAAAGCAAAATTGGATATTCAATGCATTATTTCGGCAGCAAACAATTCACTGTGTGAGCAGCGTAGTAATATCTCTCTCCCTCTTGTAATCCCATCTTCTCTTTACTTTGATCACTTAGCCAGGCCGGCCGCAAGTCATGTTTGTGCATGTGAGCGGGGCCCCACTGGCTACCTCCACGCCGTCCCGGGCGACGGTGACGATGCGGGAACGCGGCAAACACCGTTTTACTCCGTCAGCACCTTCGGCATCGTTTGCGCTGTCCACGCTATTAGCCATTAGCCGCGAGCCGCTCGCTCGCCGTTGTCAAGTTGAAGGCCATTGAGAGGCAGTCCAAAAAAAAAAAAAAAGGCAAAACCCGAGGGTATCTTTATCATTGTACTTCCCAGACAGCCACTTTAACTGAAGCGGTGGCTTTGCATCCGTGATCTCCGCTCGTCTCCAGCCGCGCACATACCTCGTTTAACCACAACCCCTGGTGTCTCTCCAGACGCCGCAGATGGGCATCAAGCATTTCTCCGGCCTGTTCGTGATGCTCTGTGTGGGCGTGGCCTTGTCCCTGCTGACCACACTGGCAGAACTCATCGTGTACAAGCTGGTGATCCCGAGGGTCAAGGAGCCACGCTTCAAGTATTGGCTGCACACAAGCCAGGTACTGAACTCGCACACTAGTGCACAGATGAACGGAAGAATAATTATCATTCGGTTTGTTGAAGTGACACACATGAAGGTCGCAGTGAGCAACCGAATATATTCGCAGAAAAAAAAAAACAGATGAAATGTGACAGCTAATGTTTTTCTTTTTTTTTCCAGAGATTACACCGGGCCCTAAACTCAGTCTTCACTGATGACAAACTGCCAACTGTTACCAAGCCCGAGAAGAGGTACTGCATCGCTGAATTATATTGAAAAATCATAACGGGATGTGTCTTGGGGAGGAAAACACTTTCTGAGCAATTTAACTGAAAATGAACTGGGCCCAGTAGTTTTGTAATTATGTTTGTAAGCCAAAGGGAGGGTAACGGGTGCTCCACCAACTTGTCCTCATCTACCATGAAAAAATGTTTTTGGTAATTTATCTCTTTTTGATTGTTGTTTTTTTTATTTAGTATTAAACCGCTGCACCTTCTACAAAATTCCCCAAATGCAATACACCCCCCCCCCCCCTTCCCTCCGCGTTAGAGACTGGACACAAAGGAAAGCCCATGTGTCTACTTTTCCAAACTTCATCAACCTGTTTGCCAAATAATGAACCTGAGAATTAAAATCCCAAATGGGAGTTAAGGGACCCATTTTTAATCAGAAACCAAATGAATGGTTAGTCTTTAGGATGTTAATTATGAGAAAGCAAAACGAGGGGAAAAAAAGCTCATGCTGGCATCAGAGTCACGCTACTGCTGAGCGGGTATGAGAGGAAGATGAAAGCTTCTTTTTCATCAGTTTCAATGACTTTTCACATGATGCGTTGTTGCAATTTGGATGTGATGTGGGTTTATTTGACTAATCTGGACAGCCATTTCACACCACTACAGTGCTCGTGTCACAGTGTAGCCCCTCTTCAGTGCGAGTCCCTGCTCACATTGCACATGTCACTTGGGAGCTTACAGGCAAGCAAAGAAGGAAATGTGTAAACTCTTTTCATTGCCTCTGAAAGGGAGATGAAAAACAGGCCTTGCGTTTGTGCTGAGCTTCTCAGCAGCACGCACAGAGGACTAAGAGGTGCAGCACTCAAAGTGGGGATTAAATACACATGCTGATTACGGAGCTACGGTCTTGAGCGGGGTGCCTGTGGTAATGGTGATAGATCACCTGATGCACCATCAGGCTCATTACAGCAAGTTGTTCTGCATCGCGCATCGTCTGAAAGTCAGGAGTGATTACCGTCATCTAGTCGGGTGTCCTGCAGCAACGTGGTGTGTCAGAAATGTCAGTCTAGCAAGCGGCGTGCCGATGAGCTTCCCATTCAGAGATTATGTGCCGTGAATGGGATGCGAACACGTACACCTGCTTCATCAGCGTGATGAGGAGGAGGCATTGTGTGACCGAATGGTGGAAAATAGGTGAAAATAAAAATTGGCAACCTAGGATGGAAGCATGACCTATTTCCTTTCCTACCTGCGCTAACAAGGTTGTAGAAAAGCCCAAAGGCATCAGGGGGGTGTCTGAGAGCCTGAGGAGCGCCGTCTGTCACACCACTAAACACTCTCCGATGGCCGATGACACATTTGACGGACAGCGCCATTGCTCCCACACTCACATTCAATTTCATTTTAAAGCAATGCTAATGTTTTACTTCTGTTAATTAATTTAGCTGATTGCCTAAGGTTCATTCTCAAATCATTTTCCTTTTATTTTGGTGTTTTCATATCCACAAAACCATGTCTGTGTCCATTTGGATTCATGCTTCTCTCACTTCCAAGGGCACAATTTCTGTCAAAGGGTAAGAAACTCCGAAGTGCGCGGATGATTGTGCAGAGATCAGGCTTGCTCGTGTGTAGCAGCCCATCACCCTGGTTGGGAAAAAATGTCAATCACAACATATTAGAGCCACGGCCTACCGCAAGAAGACCAAATACCAATACCATTTTACACTCCACACGATACGGACCTGCTGGTTGGGAATTTCACACCTTGCTCAGGGGCACTCCAGCCGGGCGCTCGTCTTTCTGGTGCATCTGCGACCTGCGTCGTTGAAGGACAGACCCCCCTATTCACTGTGCTGCCAGCTGACAGATATCTGTACCGACAGACGTTCCGAGAAATACTGATCAGTGGTGAAATGTGCCGTTCTAATTCCAAGTGCTGTGAGGAAAGACACGAGGTCTCCTCTTCATAAGCTCTGGTTGACAGGAGACAGAAAAGTATCAGTATCATTTGTTAGTAGCCTTGGATGGTGTGTCTGACCAATCTAAATCTACACGGGGGGGTTGCAGGGATATGCGTAAAACCTGCACTGAAGTTGAAAATAAAGCATGTATGAAACAGTAAATGAAATACTGGACACATGTTTATCAATAAGAGAGATATCAAATATCTCTTGTTTTTCATCTTAACATGGAAGTTTAAAGTGCTCCTCGTTCATTTAGAAATGACACATGGACATTAAAAATAAGTAAAATAAGTGGTTGTAAAATAAAAATTCTAAATTACAAAATCAATGGACAAAAGCAAAAACAGCAACAAAAAGGATTTATTAAAGAAGCATAACCAGGGAACCTCTCAGCTCATCAGGAGGCTGAAATTATCTGAAGACTTACAACTAAAATGTGAAACATTTTCTTCTTCACGTGACTTAGAGATAAGTTTCTCTCATATTCTCCTTCAGCTTCAGGTCTCTTTTGAAGACAGGATTATCTCATCAGATTTTTCTCACTGTTTTTATTACCGATGAAAACACCTTTGATTCATGGAGTTCTTCAGATATATTTCAATTTATATGGGAGGAATATCTTCTCTGCTCTTTCAATTAAATCATTGTTACTTCTCAGCTTAATAAAAAAATTGGTTGAATATCCCGTCAATTATTTGACACGGCTTGCAAGCTCTTGGCTGGCATACACGGTGGTTGTAAGAATAAACATACAGCAGTTTGGGCAAATCTGCTTTCACCCTCCTATTCTAGAAAAAGATAAAGGTTCTTCCTATATTGCAAATTGTCATACGACATTCATAGACACATTTAGCATATTTTGCAGCTGCAATTGAGTGTCTGCGCCTTTTGTGTTTTGGAGAGAGTGTTACGATCTGAGCCACCGGCTTTGCATACGATTTAACCTGGAATTCTCGATTGTATCTCCAGGTGCAACGAGGGAAACAACCAGTCAGCATCTTGGAATCCCTCGGAGTCCTCTCACTGCAACAGGCGTGGGATCCTTCCACAAGACGTGCAGAATGACCTGGAGGCTCCTTCCTCCCAGGAGCTTCGCTCAGCGCCGTCCCCGTCTCCCCTGCCTCATTCCCACTCCCTTCCCCTCATGGAGAAACACCCGCTCATCGCCACCAACTCCAACGGTCGCTCCGACCTGTCGGGGCGGGGCCTCACGCGCCTGGGGGCGGGCGTCGGCGTTGGCCTGAGCCCACTGGTTCAGGAGCTGTCAGAAACTGGAGGCCCAGATCCTCGCAATCAAGCAGCAGCTGCAGTCAGCCATGAGGAGGAAGCGGGAGCTAGAACAGTACCAATCGGAAAACCAGCAGGCGAACCAGACTGCGCCAAGTCAGCCCACTGCTCACCCGTCCAACCAGTTTGTTCAGTACACCCAGTCGCACCAGCAGACCAATCAACACGCAAACACGCTGCCGGACTTCTGAAGCTTTTCTCCTTTTGTGCTGGTTAGACGTGGGACTGCGCAGGTGAAGGAAAAAGGGGTTGTGGAGTTGGGACGTTCACAGGTGTCTTGGAGTTGAATCTTCAGGAGTTCCCCTGAACGCTGGACCGAAAAGTTGTGCAGGGATCCGACCCTGATCTGAACATTGTCTGACTTCGGGGAATGTGAGATTCCCTTAGAGGAGACAAAGGTGAACCAGGGACCCTGAACCCAATCTGTTCTCACTAGCTTGTTGCTGTCACTGAGGCGCCGTGCAAACCTTCCTCTTCATTACCTCCCTCCCCCCATTTTCTTCACCTCTGTGATCCCTCCATTTCTTTTTCCATCAATGTCCATTCCTCCTCCCCTTGCCCCTCCCTCCCTCCCTTTATGCCTCATGTGCTTAAGCTTAATGGGCGAATTCACCCGAGTCGTGTGTTGAGGGGCGTTGGGAGTGTAAATGACCTGAAGTCGAACCCGTCCTTAAATCTTAAGTCGTATGGCCTTGTGCTGAAACCTTGTATCTTTTGTGGGGAAAATAAATGATTGTGACCGTTTGATTTACCATGGCTGGCCTACAGTTTGTGGCCATTGACAATGCATTTGATGAGGCTTACGTTGCGTTTTTCTTGTGCGTCTTGGTGGCGCTGTTGTTTAGCGTGAAGAATAGAGGAAAAAAAAGATATGAAGCTTCAGCAAAACAGCCCAATGTTCTTCAAGAAAGTCTGGTTGGCACTTTGCGTTGGATCAAAGGACGGGATCTTATTTAGGGATCACTGTATGTATAAAGTTGCCCTGCACTTCACTGATGCACTTCTAGTTCCTCATAGAAAGCTGCACCTACGGTCACGGTTTGACTTGTGGACTGAGTGATTTTGTCTTCATAATAGATTTACAGAAAACCTAAAAGTGAGAGGGGAAGAATTAACACATAGGATGATAATGAATCCAATAGTCTGCAGCCTTTTCAGTCAGGGAACCAAAACAGGACCTTTTTACACGGCCTCTTGAGATCGTACCGCTGAAACACAGAACCATTCTTTTCTTGGTACCAGGCCACAGTAGAATAGTAAATGTAAACACGAACACAGAGCACTTGTCAAACTCTCACATTGTGTTTGAATATGATGATTATTCACACTGGAACGGTTCCTCTGTGACAATACATATTTTCTCTTGCATTTTCTGTTGGCGTTTGGATGTGTTCTGTTATTAAAATTGTACCTCTTCTCTTTGCACTTTGCATTTTTCTTTATAGTACCTTCCCTTATACTTTATACCTGACCTTATAGTTTCCAATACATATTAGAAACTAAAACATGTCAGGATGTCAAGTCATTTAGCCTACTGTATTTTTACATTTGAGGTCAATATAGATAGATTCACCTGCAATTGCTAAAATCTAAATAGTTTCCTTTTTTGAAATCCCCCTGCAGCTACACTCCTAACTGCCCACCGGAGGTTTTATTTCCCGGCTTCAAACGGTATGTTCGTTGCACTATTCTTCACTCATATTGCCAACGGACAGCGATTTGGGCAGGAAGGCGTCCTCAGAATAACCAGGGATGACATTTAAAAAATACACTGAATGGTCAAATAGTCTCCCCCACACACACACACACACTCACATCTGCTATCTATTTAGCCAGTGTGTCTGCAGGGTAAGCGCAGGCCGTCACAGTTGAAATGAATACCTGACAGAGCAAAAGAGCAAGTGCCCTGGCTGAGCCGTCAGCTTCCTTTGTGTGTGTGTGTGTGTGTGTGTGTGTGCGCTTTGCTTAGTGGTGACATAAACATCACTGACTGCAGTGATCCTGGAACTTGTCTGCGCAGCATGTGTGGTTGGGCAGGTGTGTGGTGAAAAGAGGAAAATAGACTGACCTTTAGCAGCCTTTTTTATTGGTTTCATGAAAATGATTTCCTTACTTGTTTTAGAGGCTATAGTATGAGGCATCACGCACGACTAAAAAAGATAAATGTCAGCTGTGTTCATGAACAACCCTGAAGGCGTTCTAGTACCAGAAAGTTTACATTTTCATATCACTATATGCTTGATTACATATCTGAAGAGCATTTAAAGCAGTGATTTTTTTCCCCCCGACAGACACGCGTCCTGCTCTCCACTTTGTGCTGCCCACAGGACACTGCACACGTACCCTTCACATATTTAAAGTTAGGGTCAGACACGTCCTTCCTGAGAATATGCCCGGTTTACAGCTCACTTCTAGAGCTCAGATTTGTGCAGCTTGAGCATCGGGTTTCAGCCAACAGAAGCACTGATACACACTGTTTGTAAGCAACTACAAACATATTTTATTTCTTTCAACAAAACTTCATAATGCCGTATCAGTAGGCTGTGGATGCCATGCTGTAGGCCAGATGTGCAATCAGCAGAAGACGTACTGCTGTGTGTATGTGATGCCAAATGGTAAAATGAAAAACAAATCTCTAAATTTCCAAACAGAAACAAGGGCAGACGTGTTTTCTATTTCTCCCGGCGAGGTAGGACTGATGGAGTCCTACCTCGCTGTCCCCTGTCCGCTTCAATGATTTGGTGAGTAACTTGGAAAGAAGCGTCTTTGGCAGTAATTTGTTTATTACAATAAAATGATCTGACACATAATAAAAAAAGACAAGAGAACACGTTGCTGCTACTGACTATTTAATTTGTGGTCAAATGAAGAAAAAAAAAATGTAGCGTTTCAAATGAAATACTTTTTTTTTATTTTGTTCTTAAAGTAAAAAAAAAAAATCATAGTCACAATGATGATGAGCATAATTGAAATCATGAATATCTATAAAACATCTTGACCTCTCTCTTCATGCTAGGCGTATCTTCCAATGGGAAATGGAGTCACAACATTGCATCACAATCCACTGGTGGGTCGGGGGGTCGGGGGCTCGGGGGGGGTGGGCGGGGGGGTCCTCGAGGAGGAAAAGTGAAGCAGGAGTCATTTGCCTGGTTTTCAATGAAAGGGCCAGCCGGGCCGCAACTAAGTCACACAGAGTCAGTTCAGAGAGCATTTCAGTCTCTTTTCTTCTCATTTTCTCTTTTTAAATGTACTTGATGAGGACGTCCTCTCCTGCGATTGCAGGGTTACGTGTACTGCCGTAGCAGTGAGATCTTCAGGTGGATCTGGCACAGGCTAGCCCCACTGAACCGCTCTGTAGAAAAACATCCTATTAACATCCTATTAACATCACAGTGAATCAGGAAACTGGGGTGAAACACTTCTTCGTTGCGTGAATTTCACTTCATACTCATTTCAGCTCATTTAATGGCACCACAAGTGCCAAACCCCATTTTTCTGACACTGTCACTCACTGAAAGACTCTGCCTTTTTGTTTCCTCCAAAGGAGACAGGGTTCATTCCCCGAAACACCTAAACTGATACCAAAACATATCCAGGTTTACACAGCAGGCAAACAGGTCCAAATGGATCATAATAGTCATACAGATTGACAAAAATCTTTACAAAATATGACCCGACACGGTCAATTAATGTACAGAGAGAGAGATAATAAAAAGAAGGATTCTGTCTTTTTTTTCTGTACAAATGACAAACACCACAGAACGACAACATCAATATTTTTTTCCATAGCACGTTTTTTCAGACTGGAGGGAACAGGCGAGGTGATCGACGAGGCAAATCATCTGACACGATGCGATGCAAAACAGGAAGTGCGCAGGTTTAACACCGTCAGGTTGGGCTACAGCACTCGCTCATACAAAATGTACAAAACATCGTCCTCTAACTACAAACAGCGCACCGTGGAGGCAAAATAATGCCCCATGTTTCAAATGGTTCCAAATATCTGGAAAAAACAACAATCTGTGCTTAAGTTTGGCCTTGTCATGTGTTTGCAACAGGGGGCCCCCGGCAGGTTGAATTGAGCATAGCCCGACTAGAGCCTTTAGAAACATGGTACACTTTGCCCCACGGGTGAATTAAAACAGATATATCAGCTATGTTGGGTTTTTTTTGTTAAGCATTCAGAGCCACGTGACATGCGTCCCTCGTCATTGTGTCTGGAAGTGCTGTGGAGACGCAAACGTGACCCGGTGCTGCCCCCTTAGTCATGTGACCTCCGTCATCGATGCCGAGTGGTTCTGGAAGTGGACGTGGCGGGAGGGGAGGAGGTTGGATTGACGTAGAAAAGAAAGGAAGTAGACAGAAGAAAGGAAAATGCATGGAAATGGAGAAAAGTAGAAGAGAAAAAAGGAGTGTTAAACAGGATCAGGGGTGCTGTGTGTGAGGGTGTGTGGTGCAAAATGTCATGCCTGTACGTTATTGTGAACATGGGTCATTGCTTTGTGTTGAAAGATAGAAAAAAAAGAAAGAAAGAACACATGGTCAAGCAAATATGTGACAGACTCTCTCTCAAATGCAAATTCTGTGAAACTACAAATAATTGCAGGAGGCTAATTTCTCTGTGAACTCACAGTCATCGGGGAGCTCTGCCAATTAATTGGGAAGAACAACGAGCAGCACAGAGATTAGGTTTTTGGGAATCCAGGTTAAGTGTTTGCAGGTACCTGTGCACTGAGGGTCTCCAGAGGGCTCTCCACACGGGGGAAAGTCATCAGAGGCAGACCGCGGTAGTCTTCAGTTTTCAGTTTAGCCGCCGCGCTGTGGACGCCTTTGAAGTTGTTCACAACGCATATACCCTGTAAGGTACGAGGACAATTTAACATTAAGAGCAAGGCAGGCTCATAATAACATGGGCCGCTGTGGAAAGGAAACATTTTAAACAAAATATTCCCTGATTTGTGACAAATTATACAACACGACAAAGATTCTCCATCCACGTAGGCTGCCGACATGCTTACAATGACAAAGCTACTGTAGGTATAATGTTAACCGATTAAAAAAATCCTCCTATGGGGAAAACAATGTGTGCACCAAAACCATCCAACAGTCGTTGACTCTTAAAACTCACAAAAGTCAATGTTTCGTCACAGGAACAGTCAGGGAATCGCCTCAAAGCGTGAATGTCTCTGCAAAAATACTCACCAATCCATCAAATAGCAGCATTAGGGCTAAAAGTCCGCAAACGGTCACAACTGCTCTGCAGATTATTACCAGTCTCCAGTCTGTTCCGTCAAGAAGAATTGAAACGTCCTGACCTCGTACAAAGTGTTATTTAAGCTGTGCACCATTGTTAAAAGAGAACATGCCCATATTAAAACAACATTATATCAGACTAACTGACTAACTGTAGTGCCCTCGAGTTGTTGCTTCAGAACAGTTAACGTGGGAATTGTCATGCTTTTTTACTATTATCCAGTATTATCCGCGTATCTGGTACACTGCATCAAATGACATTATTGTTTAATTAAACTACATGGTGACTTTTAAATAATATAAATATAAACTTAACATCGGTATAAAAGCTCAATCAAACACTGCGTGAGCGCCGCCATCCTTTAATTCAGTCAAAATGATTTTAAGCTACAATCGCTTGTGAATTCTGTAACGGAGACTTTTTTGTTTGTTTCCGTTGGAGCTGTCAGCAGTATATATTTCTAATCTCCTCCACAGACTGGTTGGTCCATGAAGGCAGCCTGAGGGGGGAGGGTGGGGACGCCCCCGGGCCGACCATGCCCTCGGGCTGCGGCGAAAGATTCACTGCTGGAAAATGCTCAAGCTTTCCTTGTTTTGGGCAGTTCGTGGACATTGCTTTGTCTGGCGCTTCCAAACCAACCAGCTGCCGGGGGAGAAATCTGAAGGGGGGAAAAGCCAAAATATCTCTCATCATTAAATCATGGGCGGGCCAAAAGTAAACTTCTTTCCTGCTGTTGTTTTCACAGCACGCCACGTGATTAAATGGTTTCCACCATCTTTTTGTTCAACTGAAACGCATCCGAGTAGATCGGGAGAGACTTTTTTTTATATTTCAGTCTCCTCAACCATGCCAAGACACGCAGGTCCAAAAATAAAGCAAGAGTTGTGCCCTCTCTATCAGACCTGGCAGGTAGTAAGTATGTGCTTCTGCTCTGCCTTGGATCAAGTGGACACCTCCGGCTCCGACATCGTCCTGGAGCTCAACTACCAAGCGCTGATCCCTCAGTCTGCTGGCAGGGGGACAAATCTCTCGTAACACCAAAGGCAGCTGTTTGATTAGTCCATTCGGATCCCCCGGCTGTCAGAACACGGCGGGCAGGGGGGCTTTGAGCTTCACTTGCTTTTCACCCTCCTTGTGCCAATTACTCTGCCTCACGATTGCCGTCCGTCAC